ACGTTTTGACTTCTAATCATTCCGACACGGCATGTGAAATGGAGAGTGTTTAGGAGAGTTTAAAAAATAAATTTGTTTTAATTAAATTTAAAAGATTGTTAGGAGAAATTTTTAAAATTGGTTTATAAAATAAATTTTGAAAAAAATTTAAATGTATAATACTTTTTAAATTTTGTGAAAAAATTAATTTAAAGATTAATTTTTAAGTTTTCTTCTAACAAAAATTTTAATTTGTAATAAAAAATTTTGATTAAAGCAAACTTACTTCTTAAATTCTCTCAAACAATCTCATGATATCCTTTTTCTTTAATTGTCTTTATTATTATTATTATTATTATTATTATTATTATTATTTACATTGGTATAGAATCAATTATTATATTCTTCAGATATCTGTAGTTTAAATTATTAATATTAAAACTTAATTATATTTATTTTGAAGGTTTTGTAAAAAAAAAAAAATCTTATTTTTTAAAAAACATTTTCTCAATTTTTAACTTATTTTCGTATTTTAACCAAACAATAGTCATTATCATCAACCAAACATGATCTTAGTTCTTCTCCATCTCATCAACGTCATCTTTTAATTCCCTTCCTTCATTAGTTGAGAAAATGCATATATTGCATATAACCCCAAATAATGTCTTGCTAAAAGCTCTTAGCGGTAGTAGTTGGTACTTCCTGCCTCCATGAAGCAAATAAACTTTTTCGTCGACCTTCTAGATCAATTCTGACTTTATTTATGTGAGAAAATATTAGTTAATTGATTACATGTGTTAAACATTTTTGTATACTATGAACATATACCGGTCAACTAATATAAAAAACCAAGAAAAGATGCAATTTGGAAATTAATCCAACCAATTATATATGCAAGAAAATAAAGGAAAAAAGGAAGAGAGAAACAAAGCTTCTAATTGGCCGACGGTGTTAGGTTAATCTGATTGCTCCCCAAAAAATGGATGCAAAGGTCTTCCCTTTGAAAAGCAAGTACACAAAAAGCAGTCTATATAGTCCATGCTTTACGGATCATATATGGCCAAATGTTCTTAAAATGCGAACCAGAGACTCTATTTATTCCAAGTCATAAAATAGGGACAATATATACACTGTATAAAAGTTTCAAGGAGTATATTAATTTGATCTGTTGCCAATGTTGGTATATAATTATAATTAAATTAGCAGAAAACTGAAGTGCAATCCATGCACGGTATTCTCTTAAGTTAATTATTATCAGTGCTGGTTAATCATGTGATTTGTAGACTTTGGACTCAAACACAAGATAAATATGTTAAGTAAGCAAGGACGCATACAATTAGTTTTCTTTTTCTTCTTCTTTTATAAAAGTAAATTCAATTTTTTATTATTTAAAGTACAAAGTGCTCCAAACCCGTTCCATTACACACTATTTATTGCAAAAACATAAAACCCTCTCTGTTACAATATCTCTTAAAGTTTGTGTGCGGACATCTGCTTCTTGCCTTGTCGGTAAATGAGAGGCTTCAGACACCCATATTTTTATCATTTTTCTTGCCACTATAAGTATACAATTAGTTTACCGATAACCTAGATATAACATAAAGACAAAATAATCACCACAAATTAATTCAACTAAATAATTTAATAATTATCTTCTCTCGTTGAAAATAAAATATTTTAAATTTGACTCACATGACATACAAGTGTAGTAAAATAAGGATTATGCAACCAAAATAGAAAAAAATTAATTAAAATTACCGATGTTATTGATCCAAGGTACAAAAGGGAAAAAATAAAAAATCAATCTATCAATGGTACAATGGCCTAAAAACCCAACCGATGTTACAAAATTTGTTAATGTTACTCCTGATTGACCGCATTCCGCATGCAGTCAAATTGTTTTAGAGACTATAGGTTAATTAATGTTAACTAAAATAAAATTTTTAATAGGTTAATTAAGGTACTCCACTTTGACTAATATATGTGATTTTAAATTTCTTTAACGAGTTGAAAATTTTTTTATTAGAGTTTTTAATAAATGTTAATATTTTTTCATAGACTTATTTATTCTTTCACAATAAAATTTTTATTTTTCTTAAAGCATTTATATATGTACAATTGAATTCTTTAAGAAATTAATTTAAAAAATAATTTTTTATATATTTTTTAATCTCAACATAAATAACTTATTTTTTATTATATAAATAAAAAATTAATCTAAAAATATACATAAATTAATTCAAAAAATATCCTAATAGCTAAGAATAAAAAAGAAAATAATGGAATACGCTATTAAAAGTTTCCTGCCCCTACAAACTGTGCCCTTTATTAAAAGCATAAAAATTAAATATACAAACGGAAAAGCATACACTAACAAATATTTAACCAATTATTGTGATTTAGAGCATACTGCTATGCTTTATGAATTCAGGAAGTTACTTTAATTAATTAACGAACTTATCTATTGCATAATCAATTTAATATTATATAAGTAGTTATTTATATCACACGTGGTTGGGTTGGGTATCCTATGTTGACCTAATTAAGATTTAGACGCAGCAGTATGAATCACTAAAACCAAAACATCACCGTACCCTATCATATAATCAAATTTTAAACCCAAATTGAAATAAACTCCTATTGAATTATTGGATAATTAAGTAAAAGCACCCACCAATTAAGCTAGAAAAAAGCTTCATGATCGCCAGATCTGACCACCGTTCCAATGCCGGCGGGCGACCAATTGGTTAGGCTTTCCCTTTCTATGGGGTTC